GTTTGCTCGGATACCCATGCTAAAACTCTAGAAGCAGCGGCTATTTCCATGGTCATGCTTGACGTGGTTGTCTGGTAAGCGCCGCTGTCCTCATGTATTGTTTTTCCCCCTTCTTTGCGCTGTGTATGCCCATGCTGACCTTGATCCGCGCTTCACGGACCCATCTGTGTAGATGATGATATCTTCTGGGTCTGAATGCTGATCTATCAGTTCCCTTACTTCTGTGTCTATGGCCGCAGGAATCTGATCCCGACAGTACCTTCCTAGTGTGATGACAACCTTAGAGATGCCATGCATGTCTACTGGTGTATTCATCCATTCTTTTCCGTGCCTGATAACGCGTAGGTCACATACCTGCTGGATCAAATTCTCAGCCTTTGCCATCCAAGAGCGGCCTCTTTTGAGACGCGTTCTTTTTGTGTCGTATATAGCTTTGTGCAATGGGTGGTTAGCGTCTGCCGATACCCTCATGTAAGCCTTGACTTGTGCCACTTTGTATCTGCTAGTCATCGTCGGCAAACCTAGGACATAACGCATGGCGTTGCAGGAGGTGTCTTTTGTGCAGCCGAGTATGAGTCTCATGGCCTCATTTTGTACTCGGTCCAGTCTTTCTAGCTGGGTTTTGCTGACAGTGAGGAGGCCAAGACCATAGTCAATGACGCTAAGCACAAGCCCTTGATAGAGAAGGAAAAGTAGGCGTTGTTCAATATCAGCTGCTGCTAGCACCTTGAGTGCTGTCAGACCTTTTCTGGCTCTAAGTATGACGTTGTCTACGTGGCATTTGTATGACAAGCATCTGTCAAATGTCATACCCAGGTATTTCATGGTGTCCGTTCTCTCAATGTCCACACCACATATGCTTACGACTGGCGTTGGTGTATTGACGATGTGAGTATTTAGAGAGAACCATGTTAAGGAGGCTTTGGACGGGTTCACTTGAGCTCTTGATTCCTGGCACCACTCACTAAGTCTGTCCAGTTCGTGTTGTAGTGTGGTTGTAATTTCCTGCCTGTTTTTACCTCGACGGTAAACAAGAATATCATCTGCATACGACATTGTTCTACCTAGACCTACGCGTTGTGCACTAGTGACTCCTGCTGTGTACACATTGAAGAGCACAGGCGACAGTGGTGATCCCTGTGGCAGACCCATTAGGACTCGTTGAGGTTCGGATGCCCATTTACCACATCGAAGCGACACTGTTCTTTCAAAAAACGCTGCTGCGATCCAGTTGACCAACTTTGTCTCTATCTGCATATCCAACAGCAGTCTGATGAGCATGTTGTATGGGACGCTGTTGTACGCATCTTCTAAGTCAATAGCGGCTGCAGCAGTTTCCATTCCCTCCTGGAAACCCTCATATGTGTCGTAAGCAAATACTGCAGCATTGCACCATGTATCTCTTCCTGGTCGGTAACCACCTAGTGTAGCGGGGAATAGACCACCCGACTCTAATTTTTGGGTTAACGTTCTGGCAACGATTTTTTCCATGAGTTTTCCTACCGTGTTCTGAAGTGTTATGATCCTATAGCCATTTATTCTCGTGTGGTCTTTTCCTGGCTTAGGAACTGGTCTGAGATAGCTGTGGAGCCAGTCATCAGGAATAATGCCAGTTTTCATGGTGTTGTTAAAAATCGTGGATAGTTCATCCATATCTGTCATATCGAGGCTTTTGAAGTCGCTGTATCTAATGCCATCAGGACCTGGAGCTGTGTCTGGACAGGTCTTCAGTGTTGCTTTGATGCAGTCCGTTGAGATGTATACTGTATCATCGTCTTCCTCGATTTCAGCCATCTGGATATCATGTAAATTCTGTTTCATCTGCTCCCTATCTTCCCTGTCTTTCTTTTCCGTCTGCAGGAGAAATCTGTGCAGGATAGCCTCCCCTTTGTCTTTATCCGATTTTAACACCACCCCGTTGTCCATTTTTAGCTCGGGCATAACAGAGGTTTGTTTGCCTCCGTTCATCTTTTGGTGGAGCCGCCAGAATTTTCTGAGAGATTTCTGAGAGATGGTATCAGTATTTCACAGATGATGTTTCCTCTGCTGGTATCAATATTTCATTGATAATGTTTTTTTACTGGCATCAGTATTTCATTAAAAATGTTTCCTCAGCTGGTATCAATATTTTATTGATAATGTTTTCTCTACTAGTATCAATATCTCATTGATAATGTTTCTTTTACTTGGTATCAATATTTCGTTGTGAATGTTTCATGTACTGGTATCCATATTTCATTTATAATTTTTCCTACTGTTTTACACATTTTATGGTAAACTTTTAAACGTTTCATGGTCAGCAGAATCGCAATCAATCAATCAATCAGTATATATATATATATATATATATATATATATATATATATATATATAAATATATATATATACCCCTCCCCCCCCAAGAAATAACTACTTTTATCACCTGTCCCAATAGGAACTTCATCATCAGAAATTTTCACTTCTGCCGTTAAGCGAAGTGGGGAGGAGCAGTTTGTGATCCATTACTTAATGTGGAGCTTATTAATGTCGTCAATCCATGTTCTCACGACGACCTGTTTCTTTCACTTCAGATCTGTTCACATGTGGCGCCTGCGTTGGAAGTTGTTCTGGCTGCATTCCTACTAGAGTGGTATACATCTGTACGATGCACAGTCTCTTGTATTACCTACAAGTTTTTCCAAATTGGTACTATCAATTCCTGCTGCCAGTCAAGTGGAACTTGCCTTTTTCCCCATGCTGTACTTAAAATTCTTTTGAACATTTCCAATAGTAATGATGGCATGTAAATGATATTAGTAGGTTACCATCGTTTCATCCTTATTCTTGTGGCGTTAATCACAATGAGCAGCTGAAACTAACCTTTCCTCTTGTCTTCAGCGTAAGATTTGTCGTAGCCACTTCTGCAGGCCAACTGGCAGGTCGGTGTTGGTTGATACGGACCACATGGGGGGTATTTTCCCTGTACGAAATGGTCACAGTGAGGAAACGAATACGGCTTGCATCCCTGATGAATAAGAAAGAGTTGCAGTAATGACAAGTTTCCTGTGGGAAACAGAGGTGTTGGGGCTGGGTGGGCCGCTTAGGGTTTGAAGGATTCCCTCATTGCGTAAGGCTAATCCAACAAGCCACTGACGCCCTTCATGGCTTGGATTCGAAATGTGGTGATCATAATATTTTAAGCATAAAACGGGACAACTCACTAATATTTTGAGCCGAAAACGGTTCGCCCCAAGTAAATCAGTTTAACCGTACATCGTCTCCAATATTCTGGAATTTATTGTTATTTTTGTTATCATGATTATTATTCATTATAGAACTAATACATTTTAAGAACCTGGATATAGGTCCCTAAATTGTATAAGTCAATAAATGGACTTATTAAAACATTAAAATCTCAGATGGCTTACTTAGTGTTTGTTAGCTTTCCTGATACATCGTTCATGTTGAATTTGAGGCATATCCTAAATGCTAGAAGTATTTATCAGAAGAACGAATCCATCTAGGAAAAGATTAATTCTTTATTAATCGTTTATAAAAGTCCCCACTACTTTCTTTAACGTTCATTCGAACCAACAAGATAGACAAAATTCTTTTTTAATCGTTCATAAAAGTCCCCATCACTTTCTTTAACGTTCATTCGAACCAACAGGATAGACCTTACTGTTGAAACACTCAAGCAATTCCCCCCCCCCCCCCCCCCCCACTAGTTCCCAGTGTTCTTCTTCTTCTTCTTCGATCCTTCTGTCAGAAAACTGATATCAGGAGGCCAGTAGCCTTTATGAAAGCTATCGTGCAATCCATATCCTCTCGTGTACCATACAGTTTTGTCTTCAGTGTGGTTGGAACAGGCCAGATTGCGTCTCTGTTGTCAGCATACAGTTGACAGTGTTGGAGCACATGCTCAGCATTTTCGGGTGCCACACTGCAGGGATACGTCTCCGTATTTCCTACACAGAAAAATTTGAACATATGTTGACGAAATCTGATGTGCCCAGTCCTTAGTCTGAATATAATACACTGTCCCTTTCTAGAGAGGCGATGAAGAAGTGAGTCTTGGGGAGAAAATCTGGTGTGGGTATCCAGCCACCTTTCTTGGATACTAGATTGTATTAATGTTTTCGTCTCTTGGTGGGTTAGGTCGCTATTTGGTTGTACCATGTCACTGCCTCTTCTGTCCAATCTGTCCGCTATTTCATTGCCTTCCAAGCCACAGTGACCTGGAATCCACTGCAGTACAGATTGTTCTACTGAAGAGCCTAAGTAAATCAGCTGTTGCGTCAAGTCTACAAACTGAGTGACTTTTGGGTTAACAATTACTTGTAAAACTGACATAGCATCAGTCAGAAAGACCATTCTGCTATATTTGCCGTGCGGTTGTCCATTCAGGAAAGAACATGCCACCAGAAGTGCTTCTGCCTCTGCTCTATAAAAGGAGGAATATGAACCTGTTGGTACAGCCTGGTTGATTGGGCATTCTATAGTGTTGATTATGACATCTCCCCCCCCCCCCCCCCCCCACAGCTTTGAGGATAATATCATACTTAATATGTTCCTCTTCTAACTTATTAAACACTGACAAACGTTTGTCTGCTTCACAAACCATTTGTTCTTTCCAAACCTGTTAATTTGTGTTATGATTTCTTTCTCACACCGCAAGAGATCTTATATTTTGTCATTTAAACTAGAAAACATAAAATAATATTATTCGTTTGCATTCTATCCCCTAATGGAGCACAGGCCCTTAACCAACTCACGCGAAGACGTTATATTCTTTGCTATTACATGCAGCTCTCTCCATGTCCTCTCCATCTTTTTTAACTTCATATTCTAGCTTTCTTTTTCACCGTTTTTTGGGAGCCTGATTTTATTTTAGACGAATATAATGAAAATAAACCAGGCAAATAGTTATCTGATTTCCAATGATATCCTACTAAAAGATAGTCATACGCCTATTAAGCTAGTAATCTAGATACATTTAGAAGAACATATAAAAATATTAAAATACGAGTACAAAAGGCAAGAGGACATAGCACTATGACATTTCGGGGGGTCAAAAGAAATAGAAACTACAGATTAACATGTTTAATTCTAACTCATATCAATAGTTCTGTTCTGTGCGAAAACATATAGAACAGGTAAAACAATAACTAAAAACTACAAATCGTAATTAACATTAAGGGATAAATTGTTTGATAGAAAGGAGATTAGCTTTCACTAATTTATTAATGAAGATGGTGACGAATCTTTTCTTGACCTTCGCTTTAGTATGAAACGAATTAACAAAACATCATTCCTTTTTTGGAAATTTGGTATCTGTACAAATTTCGATGTGTCAATATTGTTTGTGATGCTGTTGGGCAGTGTGGGAGTGTGTGAACGACATACTGGTCGAATAATACAGCACACATTTGACTGCGTCATCAACAGAAGGTATAGTTTGTAATTGGATGATTGTTAACCACCACTGCCTTTTGAGAAGTTCCAGTAAGAACAAAGGCTAGGGCAACAAAGCCCAACAGAAAATATGGGTAGGCAGAGCTCATAAGCCCTGGAAGGCAATCAGCCTGTGGGAGGAGGAATCCTGAACATAAACCTCAACCGTCCAAGTCGGAAGATGTCAGCCTACTCGGCACGGGACTAAAAATCAGACATCTACGCACTAGCGATATGGTCATGCAAACAACATTATTACGTTATGGTGTCATTCCTATGGGACGAGGACGGGTGTGGATGGCGCCGGGCCCCCTGCCTCGAAGGAGCTCACCCCAAGCTACTAGAGCCACAACCTCTGAATCTCCTAGAGTGACCAGGGGAGAACAGAGTAATGTAGCTGGACACAAACTGACAATTATGCACTGGAATATATGGAGAAGGATCCGACAGATAAAAATGTAATACTTCATAACAGAGCAAAAACAGTCTTCATCAAAGAGAGAAATAATCAGATGAGGGAAAGCTGGCACAAAAAGACGGCGTCATTTAACATCGAGAAGGACACTTCACGTCTGTGGAATCTCACAAAAAGCCTGAATGGAGACAAGACAGAAAAAGCCAGAGTTGTACTCCTAACAGACGAAGGAGCTGTTACTGGCAAGGTAGCAACAGATGTGCTAGCTGAAACACACCAGAAGGAAACTGAGGTTCATATTCCCATGCAAAGAATAAAAGAAGTACGAAACCAGACCAAGACTCTTCTAGCCGACTCTAGCACAAAAACAACCGAGGCCTGCATGTCAGAAAAGTTTACCATGCAAGAGCTGGAAGTTGGAATTGGAGAGTTGAAAATGAAGAAAGCCCCAGGGGCTGACGGTATTACAAACGAATTTCTCTCTTATCTTGGACCTGCTGCCAAGAAGTTTCTTCTCTGCATTTACAACCAGAGCTGGCAGAAAGGGGTGGTACCGTCAGCCTGGAAGGAAGCTCTCATCCAGCCTATCCTTAAAAAGGGTGGAGACAGAAGAGACCCAAAAAGCTACAGACTCATCAGCCTTCTTAGTTGTGTAGGAAAATTGATGGAGAAATTAGTAAATAAAAGACTAATGTGGTTCTTGGAGACAAACTCTGTAATCACCACCATACAGACAGGATACAGACAGCACATAAACACAGAGGACCAGTTGACATATCTGACACAGGAAATAGAGAATGCCTTCAAGGAAAAAAAAAAGTTCTTGCTGTCTTCTTTGACCTCTTTCGTGCTTTCGATACAGTTTGGAAAGAAGGCCTACAACTTAAACTGCTACAGGCAGGAGTTGTGCACAACATGTACATGTGGGTCAAAGACTTTCTTTTTCAACGCAGAGCCAGATTCAGAATTGATGGACACATCGGCAAACTGGCAAAACTAAAAAACCGAGTTCCCCAGGGCAGTGCGATAGCACCAACTCTGTTCCTGGTTTACATAAATGATTTCACAGCAACCTGCCACCAGCACGTTTATAATACCCTATATGCTGATGACTTTGCAGTTTGGACAGCTTCCGAATACACTACCACAGCCTCATATATGTTACAGAAAACTGTGGACAATGTAGAAGCCTGGGCCAAAAAGTGGGGTCTAAAGCTAAATAATTCAAAAAGCACAGCATCACTTTTCTCTCTCTCCAACAAAAAAGAAAAAATCAAAATTTGGATAAAAAACCAGCATTCCACACACTGACACTCCTATCTTTCTTGGCGTTACACTTGATTCGCGACTAACTTTGAAGTCACACGTAGAAGCAGTACAGGGGAAAGCATTCAAGAAGCTTGCAGTGATGAAAAAATAAGCGGGTACCACATGGGGAGCTAACTCCAGAATCCTAAAACAAGTATATACTGGAGCAATCATGCCAGTCATGAAATATGCCTCCACTGCATGGGCTGCAGCAGCCAAGACAACAATGGGAAAACTGGACAAGGTTCAGAATATGGGATTAAGGATTGTTCTCGGAGCCATTAAAAGCACCCCCATCAGAGAGATAGAGAGGATAGCAGATACTGAACCACTCGAACTCAGAAGACAATACAAAACTCTTTTACAGTATGAGAAATTAAAAAGACTTGAAAGTCATCCACTGCGTTTTAAATTTCAAGAGAGAACAAAAAACAGACTGAAGCGTCAGAGCCCCAACCACCTTGCTAGAGAACTGTACAGACAGCACCGAGATCTGCTTGAAAGTGATGTAGCACTGTGCGAAAAACTTAGGCCAGAATTATGGACAAGCAGGCCAGAGAAGGCAAATGTAGTTCTAACGGTACCAGGGATCACTTCAAAAGATACCCAGACGGAGACACAACAGAGAACCTTGTCTCTTGCTATGCTTGATGAGAAGTATCCCAACACCACTTGGACTCAGGTTTTCACCGACGGCTCTGTTACAGATGCAGTCAGAAAGGGAGCTGTGGAATATACACTAAACCCCCTAGCAGTAAAGCAGAAACTCTCTCTCTACCAGCAGGTGACATCTGCACTAACTTCAGAGCTGAGGCAACTGCCCTCCTTTCTGCAGTCCAACATCTCATCAGTCAAGAACATAGAGGGCACACGATTGTTATACTTAGTAAGTCATTGTCTTTTCTCAAAGCACTATCAAACAAAAAACAAGACAAACTAATTGCAGATCTAAGGACCAACATTGGCTTACTCTTCAAGGAAACAGAACTGATCTTGCAGTGGATACCAGCCCACTGTGGTATTCAAGGAAATGAGAGAGCAGATGAGTTGGCGAAAGCTGGGAGTAATCTTCCACAACCTCATCCACCACACAGCTACAAGGAAACCAAAACAGCGCTAAAGCAGTCTTTCAAGCGGGAGTGGCGAAGGCAGAATGGAGATTACAGACCAGAGACTGACAGCATAAACAAACTCAACAGGAAAGAACAAACAACAATTTTTAGACTTCGGACTGGACTCTGTGGTCTTCGAGCACACTTGTACAGGATAGGCATAAAAAATCTGCTGCCTGCGATTGTGGAGCAGACCCCTGGGCACATACTACAGTACTGCCCTAACCTCTCCCAGCAAAGACTGTGGATCTGGCCCAAGGGAGCCACATTGCAAGAGAAGCTATGGGAGACCGGTGGCGACATTAAACGCACAATCCTATTTGTGACCCAGACGGGATTCAATGTCTAGTATGACTGATGTCGAACGCAGAAGAAGAAGAAGAACTAATTTATTAATAGTAGTAGAAATAGTGTTAGGAATTTCAGACCAAGTAGCTATAAACTGGAGAAGAACTCACTAAATTATATTAGCTCCGCCATATCTAATTTAACATTTGTTAAAGTATCCCAAGTGGTGTTATTGAATGTATCAACCCTAACATGGCCACAATATTCCAAAGAATTCAAAGTTTTTTTTTAACCTGCTGTGACAAATTGTTGTTCTCGCCTTCCTTTAAATTCTTCTACTAATCTGCTTTAATGTTGAAATGTGGGTATCGACCTCTATAAGAGCACACGTATAATTTAGTAGATTCTAGTAGTATATGTGACTTTAGGAGTTGCGTTAATGACACAGAATAAAGCGGACTGTTGTTGGTAGAGCCCATACAGTATTACATGTGACCGTATAAAAGACACTTAATTGTACAAAGTGGGGCTGGTTGAATCCAACACTAAATGTGTCTAATTAAAGGAGAGCTAACAGAATTAAGCTACCTAGGGAGAATGCAGCCAGACCAAACTGCGTGTGAGACTTTTTACGGCAGAACATCTGGGAGGGAGGCCAGAGGAAGACCAAGAAAGAGGTTGATAAATGGTGTAGCTGAAATCTGCAAAAAAGATGAACAAATCCATCACCCAAGCCACCCGCCAAGCGAATGACCAATACAGAAAACCACGACATTGGGCGACAAACTGGTTTCAGTGAGACGCCAAAAGAAGAAGAAGAAGAGGTATGTCTATATTGGTTACACCTACCTCGTCTGATCCATACTGGCCACCAGTCACGATGCCTTCGGTAACATACCAGTCATACACCAGAGTAGGATTGCCTCCAAAGCATCTACAACAGTACATACACATTTGCTGAAGTTATACTTTAACTGTGCTTAGTTGTTAATGTGCAATTTACATCCCAACACACAGCTTATGTCAGAAGAGCAGTAGCCACGATGAAAGCTATCGTCTGGTCACATCTCCCATATACAGCTTCGTTTTGGTACTGATTAAGGTCGGAATAGGCCAGATTGCGCCTTGGCGTTTTCAGCAAACTTACAACATAAGATCCATGTGGTGTGACACAGTCTCAGATTTTTTTTTTTTTTAATGGACCGACATTTATTGAGGTTGGAGAGCTGGAGCTGAATCCGCTGACCTTGATCACAGATGTTCCATTTGTAGTTAGCTAGTCAACACATAGCGTCCATCATTCACTGTAAGCTTTTGTTTTAAAAAAAATCTGGCACACTATAAATGATGGTTGTCTTGCCGATCGTGTTACAGACACATTATGAGTAACATGGGAAATGTCTCATGTCCTGGAACTTTGACTATTAGCCCTTGAAACTAATGATATTCTATGTAGTTTGGACCCACTGAGTCTCCATTTAAGAAAACACTCTTGTCTGGTAGCTGAAAAGATATCTGGCAATGGAAGACGTTTGTCTGATCCCGTTGATCTTAGCATGAATTTAACCACCCAGCTGGTGACACTCGCTTAGAACTTACTGATCAAGATTAAAAATAATCGTCAAAAAAACTGTAAGTAAGTATCGTTCAACCCCCATCAGGACGACACGACGAGCGATAAACACCCACTGATACAAAGTGTCACTATTCGGATGAGCATCCCCTGGGCATATGTCTCAGAAACCTCGTTCAACCGTTAGGTTGTATTAGGTCTCCAGACTACAGCCGGGATGGAGTGTCCCTATGCGACCGATGGCACCGTCTATTCTTAGACTTCAGCTACCTTGAGAAAAACAGTACTGTTAGACATACTGGCATCCACTGGCACGAGAGGTTTATAGACATATGTCTGGCCCTGATCCTAATGACAGCATTAACCATCTAACAAGAAGGGACCAGGCCACCATCTTCAGACTTAGAACGCAACATACTCCACTCAATGGACACCTAAACAGAATACAGCCACAACACTCCCCAGAGTGCCAGCTATGTAACTACCCCTACGAAACTGTTGAACACCATCTCTTTGAGTGCCCAAAACTCAGTGAGACAAGAAGAACGCTACTCCCTCCGAGACCAGACAAGTGGAACACCTTGTACGGAGGAAAAGAACAGCTTGTGAAAACATGCAAATTCCACTACATGGCATTGGGCCAAAGGGCGAAAGCTCATGCGCCGCTGGATCGATAACAACAACAACAACCACTGGCACGAGAACAGATGTGATGGAAACTGAACAACAGAATATGTCGAGAAACATGGAGAATGGTATGCTCCACGCAGACTGACAATCATCGCTTCTGAAGTCCAGAGAGGTAAGAGTCGTTTATTTTGTCCAGGGCATGTGTGCTGGGAAGCAAATAGTTGGAATAATTGGGTGGTTCTGCACCAATGGGGAAGTGGGACGGGTTAGATCATATTTATCACAAGCTAAACATTGTCAAGGACCTTGTCAAGACCTTGTACAAATGAACATCACTGTCTGAAGAGAATGGTGCAACAGGTAATAATCAGGGGATCTGGTCTACACTCAAAACTCTTTACTCGATAAGAAGGATATATAGACTGCTAGTGGTACCATGGAAATCGGAACTTTTCGTTGAAAGCTGAAAATTAGGAAAAGGGCGTTGGGGTGGGAGGGAGGGGGGAGGGGGTGCTTATGGAAGTGTACGTAATTTCGTGATAACGGTCTTAATTCAATTCAGTTCAACAATTGGAGTGTCCCGAGTATTATGTGTCGATTCTTAATTTAATTCAATATTCAACATTCAAGTTCAACACTTTCAGGCGACAAGTTGCGGAAATACATCTCTGTGTTTCTTAAACCTAAAAAAAAAAATAAAAAAATACCTGTTAAATTGAATACAAAGGGTGTTTAGATGGTAACATATCATATCGTTCTGGCACAATTCAAATATGGCTTGCCTCAATTATGTTTACACCATTGCCTTGAAATCGTCAAAAAAAAAAAAAAAAAAAGACTGCCTTAAACGATTTAAAGAGCAACCTTCCTTATAAACTGTGAATTTCCTATTGCAGCGAGAGAAACTGTTGTGAACATTCACAAGCGTCTATGTGATGTGTTTAGAAGTTTTCAGTCGGCACGAGTACAGTCAGTCTCTTGAATAAGAGAATCAGAGAAGCAGGAAGTGGAGATATAAAGCTGCTTGATCAGCCACGCGGTGGACGTCTTGCCAGAGCCAACAACGTAGAAATGTTGAAATGAGCCGAGTTCCTTACTCTTTACAGTGTCCTTAGTCTTTAAAAATATCAAATTATCCTTCTCTTCCCGTGTGGGTTCTAGGACCCCATTGTGAGGAAAACAAGAATAGACCCACTGCCTCCTCAATAAGCATGTCGTAGGAGTCGACTAGCTAGGGACTTCCTTTGATTACATCTGCCCGAGTGGCAAAGAACAACATACTGCATACATATAGGCCAGTAAAATGGATGTACATGCACAACTGAGGCCATGGCACAAAGCCAAAGTCCAAATGAACGAACAAACAGGACTTTTCACCTCAGCTTACAGCGTGTGAACAAAGAAGAAGAACAAGAAGAAGTAAGAGAAGAAGAAGAAGGAGAAGAAGAAGAAGAAGAAGAAGAAGAAGAAGAAGAAGAAGAAGAAGAAGAAGAAGAAGAAGAAGAAGAAGAAGAAGAAGAAGAAGAAGAAGAAGAAGAAGAAGAAGACGAAGAAGAGGAAGAAGAGGGAAGAAGAAGATGAAGGAGAAGAAAAGGAAGGAAAGTCTCTCTCTAGAAAGGCCATTAAGCGGGCCGTGGTAAGATAACTGAATGTGGCTATTCAGCCGCGTTTCTTGCATACCAGATTTCAGCACACCTGTCTAGATGTGAGAAAAGGTTCAACGACGGAATCATTTAGGATCTGAGTTTGCAATAACATTTCTGTTTGTTTATTATCTGTGCAATGTATTTAGGTCTGATTATTGTGCTGCCTACAAAGATTACCAATCTGCAATATGGTCTACTGACCCTGATCCACACTGTGGGCAACAGTCAGTTACATCTTCTGCCGAGATATGGACCTGGCCTCCACCTTTGATACAGATCCTGTCTGTGATGGCTTCAACAACTCCAAAAACCTGCAGGAAGCGTCACGAGAATTTACGTTATCAGCCTGCAAACCTGGGAGATATGTAGGGCGTTAGAGGCAGCGAGTACCAGATGAACACAATGCTGGATGAGTTGATCTGACAATCAGAAATCATAATAATAATATAATTCATATAAGCATAATAATACTGTCGTTGATGATGATGATCATAATATAATATTATTTTGATGATGCTGTTTTTGATAACGACAATATTCTTATAATCAGACAAAATAGAGCAGCCTTAGACTGTCCGCCTGAAATGAGAGCAAGAAGCGGAATGCAAAATAGATTTAAAATACGCGACTGAGATTTATCAATGACTTCATTCGGTGCTTAAAAACGAATTCCATTCAAACGTGGGCTTGCTAGTCAAGGCTTCAGGAAGAAAATATTTCAGTAATATCCAATGGCTGAGATAAATTTTTTTATGTGGCAGGGAATGAAAATTGAGACGACCAATTCTTATGGGACCAAATAGCCGAACGGTCATGAACTCTGCTGACAGGATTAACTCTAGTGCTTGTATTTCTAACAACTGTGTGTGATGAAAATCAGAAGAAATTAGATTATAACTGATTACTAATCGAGCAACCCAGGAAAAAGTCCGATTCGTTAACAATTGCCCAGCAGTAGAAAGCTTTGAAAAACTGACATGTCTGCGACACAATTTTCCAAGTGTCTATATTTTTTGACAGCAGTAGGTTCCACCAACCATCCAGTTCCCAAATAGGAATTATATTTCGTAATTATAATATTATCCTAAAACGAATGAACATTAGAATGATGTGTTTGGAATCACGTCTGCAGTCTCATGATATTCCTGAAATAAAGAAGATTGTTATCCTTCACTGGCGTCTGTGGCTCAGGCGTTGCGAGTCTGACTCGTAATTTCAACGTACCGCGATCGAAACCCACTGCTGGCTGCGTGGATTTCTATCGTGGTAAGGTGCGTCGCAGGTCGAAAAAAATAGGAACCAGGATGGCTGTCATGGGGAAGTAAAGACGACCGGCGTAATGCTGACCACATTACTCACCTAGTGCCGATGGTCTGAAAAATATGGGAGCTCTTCCTATATACCCGATTCGCCTAACGGCGTGAAATGGGATCTTTATTTTATTCACTTTAGTTATCCTATACTAGAATTCTATTACTTCGCCAAATAGATTCTATGCCACATTACGACACCTGTGACAATAATGATAGTCACAATGATGATGAAGATAATTTAATGGTGATGACGAAGAGAATGATGGTGATGACGACGATGATTTTGAGGAATAATGACAATGAGGATACTGACTACGATGTTGATAATAATAATAATTAAACATGGCGGTGACGATGTTCTTGATGATGTCATTTAATATGACAACAATGATGATTACACCAAACGTAAGAACTCACCCAGCAGTCGCCACAATGAGACTGATCCCTGATTTCACTGAGACTGGGGCAGTCGGTCCATTTAGTCCTGGGATCGAAGTTGTCAGGTAAGTCTCTCACTTGTATTTTCTTGAAGTTGAGATGTTTCCTGACGATCATATTCATCATATTAGTGGTGTATTCAAACTGTAGACTTTTCAATTAGTCACATATAGGGTGTCCCATAAATCTCTTCAAAACTGTAAAAGAAGATAGTGGGGCCTTTGTCTCGACTACAAGTAGCCTGACTATGAAAGTGATGACAGTAACAAAAGCAAGAGAGGCTAGAGACCCAGGATTTCCCTAGGCGTGCTTTTTAAGTGATTCCATAAGCATGCTTAAGAAGATAGAGACAGGATGGATTCGAGGAAAAAAAAAATGGGTTGGAGTCACTGAGGAAATCTTGTCTGAAAGGAGTTTTATTTTTGTGCCAGGATAGTCTGGGGTAAGAGGGGATGGACGAGCGAATTGGCTTGCTAGCAGGGCTACGGTAGGTACAGGAAAAGCAATTTACCGGGCCTACGTTCTCAGTGCTCTCAAGGAGACAGGACGAGAAGGTGATTGAAGAGACGACCATGAATCGACAATGCCTAAAAGACTACAAGAACTTCAGGTCAAAAGAGATGTCGCTAAATATGAACACTATACAGGTAGCCAAATGTCATTCGCTTTGCTGTAGCTCGTTATGTTTTCTTCGTACGTTTAGCCTGTAGCAGACGACCATTTCTAGTAATGGCGTATGTCTGGCTTATAGCAGACATAAGCAGTTAAAAATCCTCCCGACCCCACCCCCCCCCCCTTATCCCCCTGCATATGCCGAGGTTTTTTGCTATTTAGGCTATATTATTAATCTTCCACTTGGAAAACATATAAATTCCTTTTAATCATAATCTTGTTTCCCTAACATGGAACACATTTTGTTGTTGTTGGGAATATCAATGCCGATAAGTATGGGGTGACTCTCAGGGTGGGCCTTTGTGTCACCGGGTGTTAGTCGCTCGTTTTCCTGTTGGGCTTGAACGTCAGTCAGTCATACACCTTGCCCTTTTTAAAATCTTAGTTCTCGATACCACCAGCCTGGGATCGATCCCACCAACCCAGGATTACAAAGCGCCTTCACAACTTTCCCCACTATGAACTCTGTCAGGAGGGAGGATTAAGAGTTTTTTCTCTGTATTTTTCTGTGGAGGGACCCTTATCCTCCGGAGGGAGGATTGGTCGTTTTCCCACTTATTTTCCATGTGGAGGATTCCTTCCGGAGGATGAGGATTGCCTTTTCCTTTATTGTCTATAAAGAGAATTATTAGTATAGCCTAAAACAAAACAAAAATGACTGAAAAATGCGAGGGATTTTGAACCTCTTAAACTACTTCTATTTCCAGTCATAGCGTTCGTCTGGCCTAAAGCAGACGACAATCTCCAGTATTGGCGCATTTTATGTCCTTTTCATGCCAGACGTCGGCCTCTCGTTTGAGAGACCCAGGCACGAATCCTAGAGTAAGGTAATAGAGATTTTTCTGTCAGAAAAAAAAAAAAAAACCTAGCCCGTGCAGTCTGCAGCGACTGAATTAGCCATGCAGCCCTAAATCCTCTGAATTTTTTTTTAAATGGAAGGGGCACACAGGGACCTTAGCATCCTCCCCCACTCCCAATTATTCGTCTAGAAAATGTGTAAATTGTCGAGAAAAGCGCTGCTGGTGCGAAAAGGGTTCCTTAACCCCTTCCATCGTCATAATCATAAAGCAGGTCCTTTGCAGAACGTCGCTCTCATCACGGTCTGCCTGAAAGAAACTCGGTCTCTCGCCAGCTCTCCCGACTCACGTAATTTCATACTCAAGGAGTCACTTATATCCTGTACCCATCTTCGTGTCGGTCAGCCCCTGTCCCTCCTTCCTGGCATGCCTTCTGCTTTAATTCTTTCCAGTCCGTCGTGGAGCTTGATATGACCAAAATATTTCAGCTTTCAAGAAAGGATGCTGTTTATTAGCCAATCTTCCTTGATGTTCAGATCTTTTAAGATGTCAATATTTCACCTCTTCTTTGTCAAAAATATTCTGAGAATTTTTCTATAGCATTTCAGCTCAAAAGCCCCAATTCTCTTAGTTAAGGACTGAGAGATAGTCCACGACTCACATCCGTATGTAGCCACAGGGAAGATACATGCTCTCAGAATTCTAATTTTGATCTCCCTGCTGGTGCTTTTTTAAATTGGCGGGGAGGTGTGGTTAGGGAAGGCATTGAAAAGGTCTGAGGCGGCCTTCCATCCCCAGGTCTTTTGTGTGTGTCTAGGTGGTCAGGAAATCATGCTGGTTGGGGGGGGGGGGGGGGGAGATCCGACCGACCCTCCCCCCTCCCCACAGCTCCCATTTTTAACCTAGGAGGCAAAAACAAAACAAAAACAACTATACGGCAGGAGAGAAAATGTTAGCTCAACATCCCCCCCCCCGGCTCCCAATATTTTGTGTGTGGGCCTGAGCATGACTTGGTAGGTGCCTGAGTGGGGGGAAAATCTTAGAGTTCAACCAGCATTCCTGAGAGGGAGCTTTAGGTTATAACTGTGACTAGGTTATGAGCGCCCCAAAAATGGCTTAGCGTTGTACGTCACCAAAAGTCCTGAAAAAGACTACTGCAGTGGAGATGCGATCAAAGGAGACAGGCACAATTACCGTCCCGACTGGCGACAAAGTCGTCCACCGGCGAGACATAGGGGGTCTGGTCGCGTATGGGGCATGACCTATATAACTACCACAAAGGTCATTGTACCGTTCCTTACTGTCTTGTTTCTTTAATTATTGTTTTGCGTGCCTGATCATTAGATCCTACTTGTGTGTGACAAAAAAAAAAATGTCTTGAGAAACTTTCTGCTGAGGGACACAACGTGGAGAAGAAACCAGAAAGAAAAATATATAACGTTGCTTCTATGTGACAGCATCAGTAGATGGACCGAAAAAGTCTGAATGCACCACGAAATCACAGGATAGTGTACTGTTAGAATAGGAACCGCCCTGTGATGTGGAACCGACATTTGATGACACAGATGATGATAGAATTGTTGGATGTTGTATAAAACAAACCTGTTGTATTCCCTGTTTTCCGTGAGGTTAACACCCAACATTCTCTTGACTCTCTCCAGCTCGTGTGGGTAGAAGTTCCTGCCAGCCTGCAGACAATATAATACCGTTCGTCAAGAATGGGAGAAGAAACAACACACCGAATGATGGAAGCTTGTGACATGAATGGTCAAGGAAATCTGCAGAGGTTTCTTTAATAAACAAAATTTCATTCCCCAGTTCTAGTTCATCAACAAATAAAATTGTTTGGACATAGAACCAGATGTGAACATCGTCATCTATGAGCCTTTTCATTACTCAAGCATTGGATTAGATTCCATGCCTTCACAGATATATTGAGAATCATGAGACTCTTTGTGCACGCAAATCTAGCTGAAGGTTTATCAGAGAAAATAAGTTGCTTGGTACATTTCCGTATTTCCAGACTATAGGATTATACTGTGCTATTGGAAGGCAAATGAGCTACATTCCATGGCGATGGCGAGTGTGACTAGTAGGACCCTCACGAGTTAAGAAAAGTCTTCTTCAGAATCCACATTTCTTTCTTGATTTCCCCTCTGAATAGCACGGCCCATTTCATCCTGTTTCCACGAATCCACCTGAATATAGGTATCATTCATGTCCCGTTTGCGCATACCTTTATATAGTTCTAGAGATGAATTTCGACATCTTCTGCCCATCTGTAAATCACCAAAGCTGATATATGTAGGGACTCTACCATCCTTCATCCTCCTAACAATCTGAGCCATCGAGCTATGAACACTGCAAAAACGGTTGCGCTACCTGCTGTTTATAACACCCTCAGCGTTTCTAATCTTGTGTTCCACAAATTCGTTCTCCAAATCACACGAGAGGCCCGGTCGCCGATGATGATACTCTCCTACCCAATATTGCACTTATATCCGGTGCCCATATTTGTGCTGATCGGCCCTTGCCCCTTTTTCCTGGTACCATGCCTTGATGTGCGATATGCTGTAGACAATATCCCACCAGTCACCTTTAGTTCTCATAATATTTCTTGGTAAACTTTGTATTCAGTGAGCCCTATTTAGTTAAAAAAATTTGTTTCACTGGGGATTGAAACCTATATATAACACGTCGGCAAGCAAAGTCAGTGTCTCTAAGCTACAGGAAAGAAAGTAGGAAGAAATTCATAATGCGTCATATCCACAATTTCAAATGAAAACAAAAAATGACCAACCTTCCAGTTAGCCCCTGATAAGTTATTGATGTAAAAAATCTCTTCGTCGCTCAGCGGTTCAAACTGCAATGTATCGGCAGAAGACAATGCCACAAGGGCAAATATTGTAGGCAAAAGTTTCATGTCTGCAATTGTTTCTGTGAACAGCAGAGCCGTACAATATACATGTATATTTACTTGTGACAACATATTATTTTGTGTCCATAGTTATGTGTATGCTATTAAGGAATGGTGGTGATCTTGCCAAGGAAAAGATTATGTTACTTCACAGCTGTCTGTCATATTTATAGTTCGTTCAACATCTCATGAACACACTTGCAAGCCATTTTCTCGAAACTGCCTAGAAGATCGTAAAAAAAAAAAAAAAAAGGCTATTTAGTCAAAGGCACATCCACAAACTAATGTTGAGTTATTGTGTCATATAGTCACCGTGGCTTTGGCGGCTAGACGCCCGCCTGCAGATAGAAAGGTCGTGGGTTGGCGCCCTAACGGAACCACATAGTTTTTTTTTCCAAAAAGACTAGACCCAGCCTTGAGTGGGTACCAAGTGCAGTCCTGGGAAGTTAAGGCGGCAGGCGTGATGCTGACCACTTCACACACCAAATACCGATTGGTCTATAAAAATATAGGCCTAACTCTATATTCCCAATAAAGGCGTGAAAAGGGACCTTTACTTTGACTTCATTGTGTCATATAGCTAGCTTACAAAAGCTGACATAGACATCACTTTCAAAATGACTTTGAAATGCAAATGTATAACTATGTAGAAGGTTACTGTTTTACTGTATCAGCACTTCCACAGGGAATCTAAGATAGTTTATTTATATTGTGATACTAGTGACTAAGAGAAACGAACACGATTGGGCGTGGTCTCGATAGATCATCATTTAACCGTTGGATTAGACAGGGCACAGAGTACGCTCATGTCAAGCAAGGAAGGAAAATGAAAGTTGACCACTCTGATGTAGATGTCATAAGAAGTGAGATCTTAAAAATGTTAAATACAAATCAACTTGTTACTCTCTGAAAACTGAAATTACCATTGCACGTACAATGCAGTATTGCCATTGAAAAAAAGTAGTCTGCGGAAAATTGTAAGTGCAACAGGGTTCACTTTCAGGAAAACTGTAGACCATCGGCACTAGGTAGGTAATTTGGTCAGCATTACGCCGGCCGTCTTTACTTCCCCAGGACAGCCATTATGGTACCTATTTTAGGCTGGGTCGACCTGCGACGCCCCATACCATGATACAAAACCACACAGTCAGCAATGTACATTGAAATTAAGAGTCGGACCCGCAACGCAACGCCTAAACAACGGACGCCGCACTTCATCCATGATACTGGACTTATTTTCCAATCAAAAAGTAAGGATGGCAGGGACTACCACAAGGAAATAAATAGACACATTTTCAGGCACTGGATGGCAAACGATTTTCTTTCAATTCTAGTCAGACCATCAAACCTAGTAATGGATAATGCCGCCTATCATAATGCCGTATCAGATGAAGACAAAGTACGAACTACTTTAAATACAAAAGATCAAATTAGGACATGGCTTGCTAAGGAAAAAGTCAACTTGAACGACACATATTTAAAGGCAGAGTTGTTGCAGCTTGCGAGGGAAAACAAAAAAGACAAAGGTACCTCATGCCTACAAAATCAGTAATGAATACGGCTATACTTCTCTGCGACTCCCTGCATATCATTTACACCTCAACCCGATAGAGCTTGTTTAGACTAAAGTCAAAAGACAAAGTGCCGAAAAGAACAGTACATTTAAAGTGTGTGATGTTGAAGTTCTGACACGTGAGTCCTTCTCAAAAACATACATTCATTTCTGGGAAAAGTGTGTTGAACATGTGCTCCAAGATGAAGATGAGTACTGGCACAGAGATTGGATTACAATTTGTTCAGCCAGTACCAATTTTCAACCTTCTAGGATCGTCAGATTCAGAATGATTAAAACCATTTTTTCGATGAGTGGTTGAATATCGTCAACTTGTTAGGTACATCAACAGTTACAACAAATACATATCCAAATGGGTCAAACATGATATAATTTGCTGTGCAGTTAAGATACACAGTGGGGTCTAATAATGAATACTAACTGTTGCATACTGGGGACATTTTCACTACTGAACAAGGCAGACAGATTGCCCGGGTATGCGCCACTGGGTAGTGAGTTGATACATGACAAAACAGATGTGATCAAAGCCCTTTGGCAACTAGTAATGAAGTCAGAAGAGAAAATAGATTATCTTGGCCTGGAGAGAGGGATACACCTGGGTGTGACCAGAGGGCCTGGCCAGCACACTACACTCAGAGGACAGGCAAGATGGACGCATAATCAGACTGCGCCCAGTACTATTAGCATTGGAACTCTGTGCTGGCTGTTGAAGGTGGGAACGGAGCGCATATGGAAATGCCTCGAGTGCTGTGATGTCATTCTTGACTCAGCTCAACTCAGTTGAACATAAATGACAACAAATAAATCTACTTCACCTAGCAATGTATTTTTAACACACGCCTTTGACACACACATACACACACGCACACATACACATACAAAGAATCGGAAATTCATATTTTACTTAAATATCTAAAAATTCACTCCACGAATTTACAATGGTTCGAAAAGATCAAAGGAACTGGCTGGTATTCAGGATCCTGAGCATCTATGGATGAAAGAATACCACTAATTTTGCGTCATGGATATTCCAAGGCAGCAAGCAAAGAATCGTTGCGATCTAACAGAAAGTTTTCAAGAAAATGGTTTGCAAGTGTGTTCATGAGATGTTGAAATACTTATAATACAATATAATACAGCAATTCAACAGACAAGTTGAAGAAATACGATGTGAACGAGGCAATAGGTGGACACGCTAAAAATAAAAAAAATAAAAAGAGCGGAGGAATACAATTAAAAAAAAGTCCCTATAAAACTAAAGTAAAGTGACAACTAAATGACCTTTTCATGTCAGCAACCCAGAGAGGGCACCGATTTTCAGACAAAGTAATCAGTCTGAAGCACAGATACGAAGAATTTACAGATTACACTCTCATACATTAAAGATAAAAAAAAATATCTGAGACAGAATAACCACAAATGAACAGTTTATAAGTTTTTAGAATAGGAAGTTGCTTCTCAGTTGCCCTGTATGTAAATCTAACTAATTCAACCCCCCCCCCCTCCTCCTCCCCACCATCCCACCTCGACCCCCAACCATTATCGTCAAGAAGTTCCTCTTACTGGTTTTCACCAATGAAGAATGGGTTATCGAATCGGCTGCTCATAAACACCGTGATTGCCAACCTTTCACATGCTCGACTTTCTGTACAGGGGTGTCAGGTCGTATTTTCTTCGACTCTCTCACCGTCGATGACGCCTGTTCTATTTACACGATATGACGGCTGTTAACTACATCTAGAAGATCTAGAACAGGCCCTAACCTCCGCCCCCCCCCCCTCACCGGCCACACTTTTCCAGTCTATAGCCTCAGCCTACGTCCCTCGAGAGACTGCAGCCTATGTCCTGTGGTTTCAAAATTGTTAACATTTTCAGTCGGCCCTCCTTGTTGGTCGTCAGCTCTGACAATGGAAGTAAATTCACTTTGGTTGTTTAAAGTCAGAGAAGGCAGGAATATACGCAGTGTAGCCAGCCGCTCAAAACAACGAGTAAAGCCCATGTACCTGGCCGCTCACATTACGCGCATAATAGAACACAATGTGACTCCCTGCAACTTAGACTAGCTTGGTGTGAAAGGTTAGCACGCATGAATAAACGGCCAATCTTGAACACAATGTTTAATAATTACCTTTGTCTTTTCAGTATTGGCTGCTATAATTTTTTATAAATATCCGAGTCTTTGCTTTTAATTTAAAACCTAATTAATGTGACTTTCCCTAAAGGATATTTAATGTAACCTGCATTAAAGAGATAAGACGGCAATAATGAGGTCAAGATAAACAATGTGATCCACCAAAGTCCATTGAATTCTATTTCTAGTGATATTTAAAAAGAAAGAGAATTGATTTCATTGCACACAGTATTGCCCTTTATGGTTTTTCTCTCTCTCTTTCTCTCTGTCTCACTCTCCCTTTCTTTCTCTCTCTTTCTTCATGGAGTGGCTGTTCTCCAACCGAGACCGTCGCTCAAAATACAAATCTCCATATCGCTAACTACAATCAGGAGATATCAGAAACATCAGCGCTAGAACACGAGGGGTTAGGCATCTTGAGCCCTCCATCCCTGTTTTTTTAGAAAGCTGAACCCTCTTCAATAAATCTGAAGGGTTGAGCACCAGCCATAACAATTCTCAATGGGACTAAAAAGTCTGACCTACCATTTTTAAAATGTTTCTCTTCAAGTATTTGTTGATACATTTCATATCGCACTGGTGCCTCGGTATACGCCCTTAATCAGTTCCAGATCCTTGGACGTATGCCAGACGGAGAATTCAAACGAGAGAGAAGAATGGAGGCGGGCGATATTCGAAGCAATGAACCTCAAGGGCTCAAAATGTTGATACAGAAGATCTTCTGTGGGATCCTAAGGCACGTTTAACAGACAAACAAACTAACAAAAATCACGAAAGAGAGAGAGAGAGAGAGAGAGAGAGAGAGAGAGAGAGAGAGAGAGAGAGAGAGAGAGAGAGAGAGAGAGAGAGAGAGAGAGAGAGGGAGAAAGAGATAGATAGATAGATAGATAGATAGATAGATAGATAGATAGATAGATAGATAGATAGATAGATAGATAGATAGATAGATAGATAGATAGATAGATAGATAGATAGATAGATAGATAGATAGATAGATAGATAGATAGATAGATAGATAGATAGATAGATAGATAGATAGATAGATAGATAGATAGATAGATAGATAGATAGATAGATAGATAGATAGATAGATAGATAGATAGATAGATAGATAGATAGATAGATAGATAGATAGATAGATAGATAGATAGATAGATAGATAGATAGATAGATAGATAGATAGATAGATAGATAGATAGATAGATAGATAGATAGATAGATAGATAGATAGATAGATAGATAGATAGATAGATAGATAGATAGATAGATAGATAGATAGATAGATAGATAGATAGATAGATA